TTTTTTTTTTTTTTTTTTTTTTTTTTTTTTTTTTTTTTTTTTTTTTTTTTTACTTAATTATATCTGTAATGTGCTAAGTTCAATACTTTTTAAACAAAAGATAATCAAAATTCACATTTATATAATTTCTTAAAATGTGAAACATACTTCTTGAATTGATAACACACTGTACTTCATATTTCTGGGTGATTTTGAGTGTCGTGCTTCATATTTTTTGCCAAAAAATGACCAATTAAAAATCATTAATTGGCTCTTGTTCCACATTTATTGAATTTGTGCCATTTGTTTCATTTTGCTTTTCTTACTCAGTTCTTAACACGTTCGCTACTAATTTATTTAGAAGACTCTTCCTCCACCTCGTATTGTTTTTTTTTTTACATAATTATATAAAACTAATAACTCTAGATATAATAATGTGGACATAGAAAAAATGTCACTTATTTGTGACGTTAGTAGTGAATATGTTAACTCACAAGTGCTAGTCTATGAAATGCTATCGGAGTATCGATATATTGACGCACCTATATATTTTATTCGATATACTAAAAAATATAATCATTTCTTAGAGATATTGTACAATTGTATATCTATAGCGCATTTTGAATATTACGATGTTATCATTTATTGTGTATATAATAACTATTCTTGTCTTTCGCGCTGTGTATATATATATATATATATATATATATATATATATATAATGTGTATGTATGTATGTGTATATTTATTTTTTCTTATATATTTTACAGTATTTATTAATTATATTATCTTGTTTCCAGATTACCACACGAACGTCAGATTTTGCTGTATTCAGCTACATTTCCTCTAACTGTGAAACAATTTATGGAGAAACACTTGAGAGATCCATATGAGATTAATTTAATGGAAGAATTGACTCTAAAAGGCGTAACACAGTATTACGCTTTTGTACAGGAACGACAAAAAGTTCACTGCCTTAACACGCTATTTTCCAAGGTATAATAATTTTATTTGTGTGTGTGTCAATAATATGGTACATATTTGCAAAAATCAGTTATCTTATTCGCAAATTATTTTCACAGTTGCAAATAACGCAAAGCATAATCTTCTGCAATTCAACGCAACGCGTCGAATTACTGGCTAAAAAAATAACGGATCTTGGATATTGCTGTTATTACATACACGCGAAAATGGCGCAAGCGCACCGAAATCGCGTATTCCATGATTTCCGTGCAGGATTATGCCGAAATCTCGTAAGTTAACCTGTTAAAATTCTGACTGTTTCATAAACGTGTAGTTCTGACGATTCAATGACACAGACGTTTACACATTTGATTCGAGGTTAAATAAAATCCAAACTTTTTCTTTACAGGTGAGCAGTGATCTATTTACTCGCGGTATTGATGTTCAAGCTGTGAATGTCGTAATCAATTTTGACTTTCCGAAGATGGCAGAGACATATCTGCATCGAATCGGCCGATCTGGAAGATTCGGCCATTTAGGTATAGCAATTAACCTAATCACATACGAGGATCGCTTCAACTTACATCGTATCGAACAAGAGCTTGGAACAGAAATTAAACCAATTCCGAAGGTGATAGACCCCAGTTTGTATGTAGCGAGACCAGAAGACAATAACAGTATGGAAGAAGGTAATGTGTCTAAGTAGTTTCGATACACTGTCGCAACATGAAGCCTCACATGCGCTCAGAGTTTAAATTGTGAAAATAGTGATCGTGACTTGTTCATATAAGGCATACATTGTTGTGCTTTGAACTCACTGGGGAGAGTGAAGACAGTTGAACCTGAGGAGGGTTTAAATATGTAAACAGATATGTGAATAGAGAAAAAAAGAGAACATATGTAAACAATATGTAAACAGATATGTGAATAACGTAATTAATCAATCATTGCATTTTATCATAACTGTAAATACTACATGCGGGTACACACACACAAAACATCGTTTTAATAGAGGATTTTTATACAACGGCTTCATTCTTCCAGTATTTCTTTTTTTTTCTGTTGTTTAACGGTTAAGAAAGGTGGCATATATGATTTAGAAAAAAAAAGAACTATCGGCCCCAATTTCTTACACATTGAATGCAGCATACCGATCTATGCGCTCATTACTTTTGTACTGTCATGCATAAATATAAATTGTTCTTAAACACCAATAACATTACGTGTATACATGTAAATTGCTCTTTAGCAATGAAATAAGATTTGGATATTGAAACATTTCATTCAACCGTTGTAATGTTTTGATCATGGCTTGATTTTGCTATCTGTGAATATTGTCATACAACTCTGAAATTCAAATCACTTATCAATGCTAAATCTCTTTTTTCTGTTCGATTTAATCGCTAGTAGAATTTCTGTTTTCTTTTTCTTTTGAACATGATTGGATTTTCCTTTTACAGTACCGTGATTGAGAATCAGAGGTTGTACAATTGACTAGTTTTATATAATTATTTTTTATAAATAACTGGCTGGTGGGCTCCCTCAAATGGAGGTTCTATGGTATGCTGCTGATAAAATAGCATATGTCTAATCATGCAGTAGCAATCAATCAAGGTTGATTTGAGATCTAATGAAAATTTTAAGAACATTGTCGAAATCAAATGGCGAAAGATGAGAAGTAGCAGGTAAATGGTTGTAGGTGAATCGAAATGTAGAAAAGTGACGTTACACCATACGTGCAACGAAAGGATAATGCATTTTTTATTCCCTACTGTCGAGTACCCTACTTCATGAAAGATGGAACAACTGCCATTATTGTTTGATAACATTAACATAGAATCTCCAGAAATCGCGGTTTATCTCGAGTGAAACATGCCGCGAAATGTGTAAGGATATGAGAAATTTGTTGTTTGGAGTGCATGACTACAATTGAAATTCGTAATTCGGAGAAAGTAGGCCACCAGCCAATATGACTTAGGTTTACGGAGCGAAATTTGTACAGATTAATAGGCGATACCAAAATATTTCGTATATGAGGCGAAAAACGTCTTTGAATGGAATATTAACGGTGATAAAAGGCGGTTTAAAATGTGTTTAGGGCTGCAGAGTGTCAGTTGTAACTGTGAGCTTATCACAGAGACTGTGTAGAATAGATGTACAGTGATGAAGTAACTACTGACACAAAAACGCGTCGAAAGAAAACCAAGATTGCATACCGGCGGACATTAAATAGATGTGTGTAGAATATAGATTCGGGTTGATGGTTGTTCATTATAATCTGTAAAAGTACAATTTATTCCAATTTGAAAATTAGCATTAAATTACGGGCACCATCATATGACTAAGTAGCAGCTCATAATTGTGTGCGTGTAATTATTGTGGAGGAACGATGTGTGTATATATATATACACACACACACATACACCGGTTTATATATATATATACACACATATACATCGGTATATATACATATATACACACATATATTCCCTTTACAAGGAACAGATCACGAGAGGAAAACGATTGAATTTTCTTAATATCGATCTCGTTCCGACATTGTAATTTACGTAACTGTAATTTTACATTTCTATTTCTCTGCTTCTTCTTAACCTACGATTCGACGATATTTTTCTCGACTAACTGTACGATCTTAGCTACGGCTGTTACACGGGCGGATAAAGATCTAGATCGAGTGAGAGCAAGAAGAGCGGCGTTGCGCACAATGCGAAAACTTTGTCACCGATATGATATCTGACAAAGAAAGACAACGAATCCTGACGCAATTGCTTCTGATTTATCAGGAATCAAGTCGCCTTCTGCTTGAACGAGATAACACGAGCAAGTAACTACCCGCCGCATGATGATGGTGCCACTGACCACATGTAAAATAAACAGTCTTGAACAATCAGCGACCCGGAAAACCAACAATTACATCTACGATTTAATAATTCGTTAGGTACAATAACGTCTCCTTTGTGTCGCCGTTCTAACAGGAATACTGTAATATAATATCGTAGCGCTAAATGCATTAGTAACCGTTTTTTCGCCAGCCAAAACCGATTTGGTACGTACAGCGTCGAGAATTGCGAACATTTCTGTAATATATAAAGCAGTCTAAAGGAGACTTATTCTTAAGGGATTTACTTTCCCAATTTGGGAAGTGTGCGGCTCAACAGTTATGTTGAATTAGAAAATCACGAGGATCAAGTGTAAACGCAAGCGTGCATCATGACGGTTACAGAAACAGACTGCGCGAAATCTCATGATGCACGAGTGTCGGGAGTGAAATCACTATTAGCGATAAGAGACACACACACAGTGCGAGAGTACATACAGGGAGAATACATACACACATTACATTTCTAAAACGAAAGTCGTTTATACAAATTGGCAGCGATTTATCAAAAGTTATACGACGTTATATCCTTACTGTATGTGTTGCTGTGCAATTCGATTTTTTCGTCTGCTGATACATTTATCTCAAGTGCGAATCTTAGCGATCGAATAAATATGTCGCCCACTGCATATTCATTTGAACGATAAGAATCGCATACGATTACGTCATAGTATAATATTACGCGGTCCCTTTTATTTTACTATCTACTTAATGTAAAAAAGGTACAATGGGTTTCACGGAATTGTTTCGCCGACACGATCAGCGAAACTGATCTGTCGTCCTATTTGCAAACCATGAAAAATCTACTCTTACTCTGTTAGTTCTTCCTATTATTTTGCTCGAGACAATTCTTTGAAAACGATTCTTTTGGCAACCTTATTATGCATAGACTAAGCAGCGTAGCAACACTTGGTCTTACTACGCTGTAATTGAAAACATCGATAGATCCATTATGGAATCTATTTTGCGAAATGTATTTTACTTAGCTTTCGAAAGAGCCAAGCCTAATGCCGATAAGCAAGCATTAGCTCGCTTTTCGTTCGAAATCTTGTAGAAATTCCACCGATTGTTTTGATTCTCGCAAAAGATGTTTTCCCATACGAGAAAGCCGTTTAAACGTATGAAATGCGCGACATTCGTATTTGTATATTTTAAAGAATCACCAATGTGAAGTATCGAGTTATTTGTTAATTTTCAAAAGCTAAAAAATGTCGCGTGCTTGGCTCTTTCTAAAGGATGATCTTTGCGCGAGGTGGTTATATAAACGTAGATAAAAGTGGGCTTAAATAATACAAAAAGAAAAAAAAGAACATTGATTAGCAATGTTGTGTGAGCGGAGTGTGAAGAACGCGGTAGTTTTATAATCTTTACTTCTTGCAGCCGTACGCGTATTGCCGTACATATTGCCGTTTTTATATTTCAAATTGCATTGCAAATGAATATCCTTTACCAAGAGATACTGGGGAATGAGTTTAACGTATGTGTGTCCGTGATGTGTAAATTTTGCAGCTGCAAAAAGTAATTTTTCCTACTTTGGCGTCCCTCCGACCGCGTCTTCACACGTCTGGCCCACGTGGTAATCTCCAAGCGCGGTTCCTACGACCGAGCTTGGATGACAAGGAGTGCCCTTGATATGAAAGTAAGCGAGTGTTATTCTTACAACGTAGGAATGCGATTTCGGCAGTGTAATGTGTTAACATCCGGGTGCGTGCCAGAATTTGCGAACTTGCCGCCCTACGAACATCCTGAAAAGGGAGGCACTCGCGAATTTTATTTATCAATATCTACGATTTGAATCGTATAAGCGTGAAGGGAAACACTTTGAGAGACGAGCTCTGTAAAGCGCTCGTTAATCTCGTACCTTCGCGCGAATACACCCATTGGTCGATCCAATGCGGCGAGCTGCGTGCAAGCACATTCCCAACTTAACCGAGCGAGAATCGATCACATCGAAAGTTTAACATCTAGAGACAAACGATCTTTCCGGTTTCGAGTAACATACGCAGCTCGGTCAATGATATTGGAATTAGATCTCCAATATACGTGAAACATATTAAAAAAGAAAAAAAAAACGAAAAAAAAAAGAATAAAGTATAATTCGTTCGAGACACGCGAAACAATATCAGTTTTATCGACTGTCCGTGCTTTACCGTTTTGTTAAAGAACATAGTACTCATTATTATTCACTTATTTATCGGATTACAGAACAAAGCATCGCTCAAACGGCACGTCTGAAACGTTCTACGATACGATACTTTTGTTGCTCCTCTTTCTCTCTATTATTAATATTATAGCTATTATTAACGTGATATGAACGAAAAATTTTCGACACAATAATAGACATCGATTTATTTTGTGACGTTGAAATCTCCGAGTTTCGGTTGTTCGTAAATACAAGCGGCATAACACAACGAGAAACCTCGCGTCTTACAGTCCGGAAGAACTGATTTCTTGTGTCCGTATTTTATAACTGAAATCACTCAGACGAGATGCAACTCTAATTAAGTAAAAGAAAAAAAAAAAAAAAAAAAAAAAAAA